TAGGAGTTGAAGAGGAAAAACAATGAAAAAAATGTACTTCATATATTCCTATGAAACACCATTGCACTCGGCACTAAAACAAAATAAATTGTAATCCCCTTACGGAAAAAGACTAGATTTGTTTTACCAGGCACAGTCATAGTGATATGTACACAGCCTGTCTTCATGACAGCAAAATGCCACTCCTTGCAATGCTGACCACTAAGATCCTCTCCCATCCTGTAACTCCAAAGTATTTATTTGGCTAATCACTATCTATTCCATTTGAACCTTATTGTAGGATAACATACCTAATTATGTACAAGAATATAAATTAAGAGAACTCACTAACAAGCCCATGATGACAGGAGGAACCTGCATGACAATAAATTACCAATTTTTCATCCATATGCATAAGAGAACTCATATCAAAAACTGTCAATACTTTGAGACACTGAATAACCCAATAATGTAATTTTCCCATTAAAACAACTCAAATATCCAATAACATCCACAACATGTAAGAAAATATGATGTCTAGCATGCGCATTAGTGAGCAAAGCAAATATACAATATTTTTTATATATTTTTTTTTGTTTGTTAGGTCACTATAACTAGCATAAAATGCCTCTGATATGTATAAGCATGGCCATTAACATGCTTGATATGTTTAAAAGAGATGGCTACATGGCTTTAACCACTGCATGCATAATCCTACAGAAGACACCCTGTAAAACTGGCTTACAATGTACGGGTTTAATCAGGATATGATCCTGAGCCCTAAAGATCATGCTTGAAATATCTAATCACCACTATGGAATGGACCAAATGAGTGTTATTGAGCCATTTACACACTTAAATCTATACTGTTGAACTTCCTATCCAGTATACTCTACATATCTAGTCTTTTCATCGGTTTTGGGTGGAGTGAGCATAGCCACAGAAACTTCTGAGGTCTGGGGGCTACTCCGGGAGGATGACGACTGAATCTGACTTAATCTAATCTGAGCTCTTTCCTGCAATAGAAAGAAAGAAAAAAACATTAGTATTCTCATTGGCCTGATGAGAAAGACTATCAGCAAACTGTATAATATATACATATGCATAAATATATACATATAAAAACGCCTTCATAGTCTTACCAAAGTGTCAAGATCAACAGAGTGTGTCTGAATGTTATGGATGTCATCTTGTGCCACTTGGCTGAAGGACTTCAACTGCATTGGCCCCATTTCATGCACTGTGACTGCAAAAGCTGCCATCCAGTCATAGCATGCTTGCATCTCCTCTGCAGAATAACCTGATACCTGACTTGCCAATTGTGGGGAGGTCATATAGCACATGGCAGTAGCAGCAACTATGCTTGAGCTGAAGGACAAGCTGGAAATCTCAAGAGTACACAGATCCAACAATCTTGCTGCCTGGAAGGAGAAAGGACACAAAGTTAGGAGATTCAAATATATGGTCTTTTGGGATGTTCTCAAAAGGGGAATCATCTGCAAAACACAAAACAAGACTGGAGGAGGAGCCTACCTGAACAAATGTTAGAGGTGAGTAACGAGGATATACAAAACTATGGTCATCACTGGAAGATTCTCCACCATTGGCCTCTCGCTGGGCAAATTCTTGGCTCAACTGCAGGTATGTGTTTAACCAGCAGTTTGAGGTTACAGGACACAAGTCCCAATTAAGTTTCTGAAAAGAACATTTTTATTAATTAGCTGATTTTTTTTTTTCATGTCATGACAAAAATAATATAAAGAAAAGATTACTTTCATCTGAAAACTATAATCACAGTTTTAAACACTATTTCTTACCTGTAATATGACTAGCTCTTTTACTAGGATTTCATTTTCTATACAGGCACCATCTGTCACATATGCAAACTCTGACAACTTTGGTGGGTAAATTTCTTCTATTTTTGCAGCTATGAATAAACATGTTATACCTGCAAAATAAAAACCTTAATTAGAAAAATCACAGACAAGCCATACAAAATTAAACATGTGTATTAGTTATTCTGCTTTGTTCCTGTTACATTTGCCATACATCTCAATGTATTATTTATTCATACCTATAAGCTGTAGTTGCTGTTTGGGCACATCATGTGTAGCACTGAGGTAGCGGTCTATGTAGTCTGTAGCTAGATAATAGGTCTCTCTGTGCAGCCTATATACTTCACACACCTAAAAAAAATAATGTATTAATATACAAATAACCACTTTTATTTGCATGCCAACATTTGAAAATTACACATCCATATATTCATATCACAATAAATAAACAACTATAAACACACACACTCAATATATATATATTCCTTATACGTACTTCTGTCAGCCAATCTAAGAGAATCGCTCTCATGCGCGCTTGAAGAGATGGATGCTGTGAGAGGTAGTCAGGTTGGCGTGCGTACATGCGGTCCTTCCGACACATTAGTGTCCACACCTGCCCTCGGTCTGCCCAACTTAGTTTTGGCAATGGTAGTTTTCTTGTGGACTCTGGTGTGGGGATGCAAGTCAAGCCTCTGAATCTGCAAAGAAAAATTTATTGTAAGAATGTTCCCTTCCAAGCCCCTTGCCAATATTTTAATGCAAATTTCCATAATGTAAACATATATATAACTCTGCTTACTTGTGCCATGTTTCTGGTACAGGGTTATCTGGAGTAATCGATCTTTCTCTTTCTATGTTGAGGCTTGATGTTACATCTCCAAGGGGTAGAGGCTGAAATAAAATAAACCTTAAATTAGTGGGAGATACTTTATACTATACACTTAACATCCATGCAAACAAACCTGCAGTAACAGGGTATGCAAGTCTACACACATTCTTTGTCCAGAAACTATGTACAGACATCAAGCCAGTCAAGGTTTACACAACCTGGAGACAGTCCCTCCAACCAGCTATGCATGACTTGCAAACAATCCCCCGAACTGTGCAGGACCTGCAGTAATTTCCCAAGTTATGCACACACTTGCAGCCTCTCCATGCATGCACACACTTGCAGCCTCTCCATGCATGCACACACTTGCAGCCTCTCCATGCATGCACACACTTGCAGCCTCTCCATGCATGCACACACTTGCAGCCTCTCCATGCATGCACACACTTGCAGCCTCTCCATGCATGCACACACTTGCAGCCTCTCCATGCATGCACACACTTGCAGCCTCTCCATGCATGCACACACTTGCAGCCTCTCCATGCATGCACACACTTGCAGCCTCTCCATGCATGCACACACTTGCAGCCTCTCCATGCATGCACACACTTGCAGCCTCTCCATGCATGCACACACTTGCAGCCTCTCCATGCATGCACACACTTGCAGCCTCTCCATGCATGCACACACTTGCAGCCTCTCCATGCATGCACACACTTGCAGCCTCTCCATGCATGCACACACTTGCAGCCTCTCCATGCATGCACACACTTGCAGCCTCTCCATGCATGCACACACTTGCAGCCTCTCCATGCATGCACACACTTGCAGCCTCTCCATGCATGCACACACTTGCAGCCTCTCCATGCATGCACACACTTGCAGCCTCTCCATGCATGCACACACTTGCAGCCTCTCCATGCATGCACACACTTGCAGCCTCTCCATGCATGCACACACTTGCAGCCTCTCCATGCATGCACACACTTGCAGCCTCTCCATGCATGCACACACTTGCAGCCTCTCCATGCATGCACACACTTGCAGCCTCTCCATGCATGCACACACTTGCAGCCTCTCCATGCATGCACACACTTGCAGCCTCTCCATGCATGCACACACTTGCAGCCTCTCCATGCATGCACACACTTGCAGCCTCTCCATGCATGCACACACTTGCAGCCTCTCCATGCATGCACACACTTGCAGCCTCTCCATGCATGCACACACTTGCAGCCTACCCATGCATGCACACACTTGCAGCCTACCCATGCATGCACACACTTGCAGCCTACCCATGCATGCACACACTTGCAGCCTCTCCATGCATGCACACACTTGCAGCCTCTCCATGCATGCACACACTTGCAGCCTCTCCATGCATGCACACACTTGCAGCCTCTCCATGCATGCACACACTTGCAGCCTCTCCATGCATGCACACACTTGCAGCCTCTCCATGCATGCACACACTTGCAGCCTACTCCATGCATGCACACACTTGCAGCCTCTCCATGCATGCACACACTTGCAGCCTACTCCATGCATGCACACACTTGCAGCCTCTCCATGCATGCACACACTTGCAGCCTCTCCATGCATGCACACACTTGCAGCCTCTCCATGCATGCACACACTTGCAGCCTCTCCATGCATGCACACACTTGCAGCCTCTCCATGCATGCACACACTTGCAGCCTCTCCATGCATGCACACACTTGCAGCCTCTCCATGCATGCACACACTTGCAGCCTCTCCATGCATGCACACACTTGCAGCCTCTCCATGCATGCACACACTTGCAGCCTCTCCATGCATGCACACACTTGCAGCCTCTCCATGCATGCACACACTTGCAGCCTCTCCATGCATGCACACACTTGCAGCCTCTCCATGCATGCACACACTTGCAGCCTCTCCATGCATGCACACACTTGCAGCCTCTCCATGCATGCACACACTTGCAGCCTCTCCATGTATGCACACACTTGCAGCCTCTCCATGCATGCACACACTTGCAGCCTCTCCATGCATGCACACACTTGCAGCCTCTCCATCCATGCACACACTTGCAGCCTCTCCATCCATGCACACACTTGCAGCCTCTCCATCCATGCACACACTTGCAGCCTCTCCATCCATGCACACACTTGCAGCCTCTCCATCCATGCACACACTTGCAGCCTCTCCATCCATGCACACACTTGCGGCCTCTCCATGCATGCACACACTTGCAGCCTCTCCATGCATGCACACACTTGCAGCCTCTCCATGCATGCACACACTTGCAGCCTCTCCATGCATGCACACACTTGCAGCCTCTCCATGCATGCACACACTTGCAGCCTCTCCATGCATGCACACACTTGCAGCCTCTCCATGCATGCACACACTTGCAACCTCCCCATGTATGCACATACTTGCAGCCTACCCATGTATGCACACACTTGCAGCCTACCCATGTATGCACACACTTGCAGTCTACCCATGCATGCACACACTTATGCACGAGCATCCAGGCAATAAGACATTACATCCAAACAATGTATGCACAAAAGTCATGTGCATAAACTGCATCCATATATTCTAGGCATAAAGTTACACCTAGACAATGAATGCACCCAATTCCAATACAAATCTGTATTCACACAGCCTTATCCTCTCAATACATGCATTGACTTCCATTCACACACACACACACACACACACACACACACACACACACACACACACACACACACACACACACACACACACACACACACACACACACACACACACACACACACACTTAATTTCATTGCTTTTACACATCACTGAAATGTTACTGAGCAAAATCAGAGTACTGTATAATTCATTGCTGTCAATCAAATAACAAAACTGATATGAGAAAATTCATGTTTATATGCAAAATTAGTTCCTAATATTATATAAGAAAAATCTAGGAAGTTCATTACCATTTCCGTCGAATCCAATCTGGCCTGTTTCACTTCTTTATTTTCATCTTCATTTTCTGAGTTCTTTCTTTTTCGTGTTCTTAGAATAGCCGGTTTCGTTCTAGTCGAGAGAGTGCCATTTTTCAGCCTGTAAATAAATCAATTTATAGTTGAATAATAACAACAACAATAATATCCATATCCATGTTACTGAGATCATTATCCAATACTGCAATCGTAACCTTGCAGAAATAACAGCATAAATGATCCATCTTTTTACCTTCTCTGATTCTGAGACATGGAGGAGGTGTGTGTTGCTTGTGGGAGAGATCTGGTGATGCTAACAGGGCCTGCAAAAGACATAAGATTTATTATCACAACTCATCTTATATCTTCCATATATAATGTAGAAAACCCCACCATACACAATATATATATATGTGATGATATACTAGGCTATGATATGTTAAAAGGCACACTCTAAACCTTTAAGGAATCTGATACAATGCTCTTTCCCAAGATGGATGGCCACCACCATGCTTGCCCCAGAATGCATATGGCATGCCTTGATAACAGAACTATCAGTTTATAAAACAAAACCACCAAAAAGTACAATATGTTCAACTGAATGCCTTATGAAAGCCATTCATCACCCAAAGAACGAGATTAAGCAATAACTAAAGAGTCACAGTGGAACAATCAAACAAACAAACATCCTACTCACAGGTATAACACATGGCGTAATCAAGAAATATATTATAGGATAAAATAACACATTTTGAGCATCCACATAAGCCCCAAACTATACATTATGGTGCCTTCCTCTCGCCACAAGATAGAAAAATTCACGGAAAAGTAACTGACCCTCAGAATTAAATGGCCACACCACACCAAGTCATTTCCTCGCCCAGCAACGTAAAACGACATCAAAACCTTCACTGATCTCGCCCACATGGAACAACGACAATGCAAAAACCCCGAAAGTGATGTCGTGGGAGAAGCATAAAGCCAGAAAAGCGAGATAAATATGGGCTGGACATCAGAACTCGGCGCCAACTTTTGCCCGCCAACCCCGCCTCGAGGATCCCCACCCTTGTACCGCTTCCATCCGCTCTATTTGGATAGATATTCCACTCCCATCCACTTCAGTTCTCAGGGCCCATCCACCTGGTTCCACCCGACGTGATAAATGTCGCCTGGAACAGTCCTGAGGCGATTTAAAGCGCGGAAAACGGAGGTCTTTGTGACCCTCTTCAACCCAGGCGGTGTTCGCCTCCCCCAGCAACAGGTCTTGTGGAGAGGTTTCAGTCTCTTCGGCGCCTGCTTCCACTCGAAACCCCATCTCCACATCATCTCCTCAGCACGCCGACCCCCAGGTAAGCCTCATCCACCCGGGAAATGCCCAAATGACACGAGAAAAACAACGCGCCAATTCCCCCCGGGCCAGAAAACACCCGGGAGATCCTGAGCATCACTTCGCTCCCTCCCTCGCCTCCTGCAATCTCCACTTTTCCTCTCGATGCCATTAGTACTTCGTGCACTACACATCTGCATCTTTCACTTCTCTTCCTCGTTTTCGGTTTTACCTTAAAAAAACGGAAGCAATATCCACAGACTCTCAGAGCTCGGCGTGCATGGTGTGTCGTGGGCACCGAGGAGGACCTGTGTGAGGAGCTTCGCGCGCGAGGGAGGAGGGCGCCAAAAGCACGTGGGCGGGGCTTAGGCGCCAACACGGCCTCCGATTGGCTGGTCGGGCGGGTGAGTTGCCGGGAGGGAATTTCGGGTGTTGGTGGATGTAAACATTGGATTTGTATTCTCCGAAGGCGTGATGGATTCGAGTAAGATTTGAGTTTTTGAAATATTCACATATCATTGACTATAACTAATCTTACCGGATTCAAAATCGAACAGCTGTGCGGGTGTTCGAGACGTATTTTTAGGCGCGAGGGAACAATGACCCTAGCAGCCATTGGAATGCGAGACGTCGCTGCCGTTAGCCCATTGGTTACAAGATCTTACGTCACTGCGCGCCAAATATGAAATTTCAAGCTCGCTCACCAGCTGATCGCACAAACATCAAATGGGTGGCAAAGGTGCGAAAAATAAGCGCGCGACTTTCTATGTTCCTATAAAATAATTTCCTTACAGATATTCAATCAAATGTCATTAGGTCGCATCTATATCAAGTACTGCAAGGGTCTATTTCACATTTACTTCTAATTTACTCTATAAAATGAATCTGTACCCTCACTTCACCGCCGCCTAGCCGAAACACAGGGAAACGACCTCTGTCCCTTCTCTGACACTGAACTTTCGAAGAAAAATTATAACCATTAACAACTAGATAAATAATCTGTAGTGAATCGAACTGGATTGCTGCCTAAGAATCCATAAACTACAAAAAATTTCACTTATCACAACACCAATTCCACTTACCACAAGTGATTAAAAACTGTTGTCCGTGAAGACTGTGAAGTAATATATCCGGTATGGTTTTCGATCCCATGGCAGAGAGGTTATTCCGTTCGGAGTGACACGACCAAAGGTACTGAGCTCCCTCTCTCTGACCTGGGTGTTCCCTGACCGTCCCGGTGCGGGGCATCCCATGGGGAGGGGTGAGGACCTGAGACATGGGGGGGTTAAGGGGGTGGGGGTAAACCGCGTCTCCCACGACCCATGGCGCGGTAAGGCCCTTCCTCCCTCCCCTCTCCCCTCGCCTTCCCTATCGCCGGTAACGCTACTCCTGACGTTACAGATACCCGACTTTCCCGCGCCTTAGACAACACTCTCCTATCGGCATGTCCTCTTTCGGAAATGTTTACCTTAACGTAAAACTATGGGCCTACTGATCATTTCTTTAGGATTTATGCTTTATAATGATGTGGAACTTTGTTTGCTGCGTGGTGGTTCACCATTTTTTTTTGTTCTTCTGAATTTCTATTTGTGTGTAATGGACGTTACTTTATTTGAAAGCAAAGGATCGGGTAACCTCATGTGACCTAACTGACTATGACCTGAAAATAACATGAGGAATACTGTGTATACGGCGTCAAAAAATCCAGAACCTCATGAACACCCGGCTAAAAAAAATCAATACTTTCACTAGAAATCCACTTCCGCTAACCAAATTTCCCATGGCGATGCCTCGAAGCACAGATGGAGAGAAAATTAAATCATACCCTCAGAAGTAAAAATAAAGTTTAAAAAACTCCATCGGGGTATACACTAAATACGAAAATGCTAGTACTAATGTGGACGCCGTAAATAAATTAACTTCAGGACCTGACGTAGATCGAGGCATTTTGGCGGGCAGTTTTCCCGCTTTTCCCGAGTGCAGCTGGAGCCTCGAGGGGGCTAACCATCGCCCAACCCCGCTCAGAGTGAACTATCTAATGTCTATCTCAAATTTGAAAGGTTTTCATGTCGCATTCTGTTCTTTCCCCTAAAGTGACGTAGATTCCATAATAAAAATGCGTAAGATGTTGTACAGTAGGTAAGTGGGGGTACCTTAAGCGGGGTTTGGCGCGTGAATGCGTGCACGCGCCAAGCGGCCACCAGAGTACAACAGGTGACTTAAGCCACATCTGATTCCCGCCACACAATATTCCGCGCCAATCTTTCTCATTTGGAAAGTAAATGATACGATATAACACTTGCGCTGGATAAAGCAGAAGGCGGAATGCTGAATGCGCTTTCCTTACTGGGATTGACCTAGCGTTTTTACCGACTGGTATTCTTTCTGTAAAACATCCAGGAATGTATATTAGCATCAAAAATACATGGCGTGTGTATTTTGTAATTAGCAGACTTATATTCACAGATCAAATGCAAAAGTATGAGAATATAAGTCCTCCCATTTGTCACAACAGGCCATTGCCGTCTATGACACAATATTTAGACGTCCACTGATGCAAGGGCTATTGCTAATTTAGGTAAAGTGACATGTATGATATACGTCACCGTAGAGAACGCCAGTCTTATAGGCAGAACTGCTATTGAAAATACTGCTATGATTTCATTACCGTTGTATCTACCATTGCTACAATTATTCTAACAGCCATTACTGTTATGAATCCTCATGTCTTTTTCTTAGAAATATTTCTTCTCTGAATATTGTCGTTTCATCGTAATCGGTTCTTGCCCTTACCTCTACTGTCATCATATCACTAATGTATTAGAACCCTGCCATATTCCCATTGTTCCTCAAGGTTCCAAGAAGGGTGATGTTAAGACGAAACTCCAAAAGCGAGAAAGGAGCTTCTTTGGCCATTATTTTACCATTTCCCTTTCGCACACTAGAGCCAGACAAGGGCTGTGAAATGAATAAGGGCTAAGTGTTCAACGAAGATACGAGTTTGTTTTTAGGGACTATGAAAGGACACGTAGTTGTGGAAAACCCTTGGTGTGTGGTAGTAGTGATGATGATAATACAGTAGCAAGAGCATGTAGTAAATACATATGTACACTGAAATATGACTTGGTATCCTATTTGTGACGGAATAGAGCAGATTTTCGCCATCTTGAATTAGTCCCATCTTCATTAATTGCGTTCTAAGTACTTCTGCATGCCCTTCTCTAGGCACACGCATGAGTCATGAGTTTAAATGGGATGAAACATAAACATTACCCAATCCTTGACGATCCTTGTCAACGAATCATCCCGGTTTTCTGTAGTGATTTCATAGATACATGGACGCAGAACATCATTTTAACGTAGATCGAGTAAAAGCAAGAGCATTTGACAGAGAGGGACGTAATGTAATCATGCTGACGATGGCGGTGGTGTGTACTCGCTGACACCATCACAGAGCCTTCCATCCCAGATCCCGCCAAAACCTGAGAGCCGCGGTACTTCCTGCTCTCCAGCTTTTATGCCCATATTATTTCTGTTATCGATTTCTTCGTGGAAATTATCATGCAGGAATATTACGATAACGATTTTCATTTGGTGACATGGGTAATAGGACTTTTAATGTTTTGTTTTTTTTATCTCTTCGCGCGGGATTGTGGAACCAACGCACGGCATGCGAGAGGAGGTACATACATGCCGGTTCACTCAGCCGTTCCCGCGAAATTTTCCATTCATTTCGATCCTCGTCCTGGGGCTAATATTTGTGATCTGGAGTTTGTTTATGTTCTGCTTGAATGTCCTGTTGATGCTGCTGCTAAACGATGAGTTTAATTAATGGCAATGTTTTACTTCTCTGATATATGGACATTCCTGTAAAACTATGAAATGCCACGAGCTATTCTGTCAATAGACAAGGATGAGAGATCAAATTTTGAAACACTTATCTAAAACACTATGAGAAATGACGATATATTTGTATGCTTCAAGACAAAGTACACGGCGAGGGCGGCGGCCGGGTTTTGTCATTACGTGAAGGAGCGAAGGAAGTCATTATCCAGCGCATCACAATTGTCAAAGTAGTTTTTATTGGTTGTTTACACTGTGTATTTGTTGCAATATTGAATCATGGGTTGTACTTACCACATTAAAATCATAAGCCATGAAAGCGCTAAAAAAAAAACACTGGTACGCCATGATAACGTGTCAACAGTAGCTGTTAAAGAACCGGGGTACATTGACATTCTCTTTGGTGTGCAAGTCCTACGTCAATATTATGCTATACTACTATGTCCATTAGCGAAGGATAATTAGGTCATGAACTCTCAGTTTCTTAACTGATAAGGAAACAATCACTCACCTGAACGATTGCTACAAGAAAGCCAATTCAGACACTTTTTTTGTATTGTACATTAAGCCTTCAGAATTGCTTCAGTACTATTGCTTGCATTCATGTAATTACTTTGTATGGACACCACAAAATACGAAAATATGGAAAGCACATGAAAGAGATATTTACATTCCAACCAAGAAATATCTGCTAGAAAACACTAATCCAGTGTATTTCAGTCTAATCAGTCTGATAAGATAGGAGGGTATTAGATAACTACTGATTTATGTGTTTTCTTAATATCCGGAGTCAGGCAGGTTGTCGGTCTTTGTCTTAATCAGCTGGTCGGATATGGTGCTCTCTCCCATTTAGTCTCTTGCTGTTTTTTTTTCTCTTTTACTATGATATTTACCTGCTCTCTCTCTCTCACTCTCTCTCTCTCTCTCTCTCTCTCTCTCTCTCTCTCTCTCTCTCTCTCTCTCTCTCTCTCTCTCTCTCTCTCTCTCTCTCTCTCTCTCTCATCAATATTATGATAATCAATATTCATATATGCTAATTATCGTTATCATTATTATTGTAATTGTTATGATGATTATTTTATTGTTATCAATAATAATAATATTATTATTATTATCATTATTATCATCATCATTATCATTCCTATTAGTAGTAGTAGTAGTAGTACTATCATTATTGTTATTTTTATTATTATCATTAGTATAATTTATTATTACTATTATTATAATTTATTATTACTATTATTACTGTTATCATTATTACTATTGTTATTATGTTACTATTTCTATCAAATTAGTTTATTATTATTACTATTATTATTGTCATCATTATCATTATTGTTGTTGTTATTATGTTGTTACTATGACCATTATCATTACTGTTGTTGTTATTAATATTATTATTATTATTATTATTATTATTATTATTATTATTATTATTATTATTATTATTATTATTATTATTATTATTATTATTACTATTATCATTATTATTACTAATATCATGATTACTCTTACTCTTACTCCCATGATTTTATCTGGCTGTTTGTGCCATTGCTATTATAAAATTATAGAGATAAAAAAAAAATGTAGATGACCTTTTTACCAATTAGTTTACCAAGTCGTACCATATGTATTGGCACGTGATAGTATGCCGATGCTCAGAGAAGAGAAGAGATAATGTTATCAATGGAGATATGGCCAATATAGGATATGTTATATGTACGCACACAAATGTATACATACATACAATAGTATATATATATACTTATAAATATATATACATATTTAAATATATATATATATATATATATATATATATATATATATATATATATATATATATATATGTGTGTGTGTGTGTGTGTGTGTGTGTGTGTGTGTGTGTGTGTGTGTGTGTGTGTGTGTGTGTGTGTGTGTGTGTGTGTGTTTGTGTGTGTGTGTGTGTTTGTGTGTGTGTGTGTGTGTGTGTGTGTGTGTGTGTGTGTGTGTGCATATATATACATGTACAAACACACACACACACACACACACACATATATATATATATATATATATATATATATATATATATATATATATATATATATATATATATATAAACACATGTGCATGAAGTCTTAAAGCCCACGAAGGCTGCTGGTCGCCGACACACTTGCACACTATGATAATTCCACCCAGTCATGCCACAGACTCCGGTTGCTGAAGAGTGGCGGTTTCATGGCGTAACGTCATGAGAAATATTATTCTTGAGGCGCGATCCTCTTGGGGTTTGATCCAAAATTTCCTTTCTCCTTCCCTCCTTTCCTTCTATTCCCCGAGAGGACAAAGGAACTGAAATTTTAGTTGAGCGGGATGAAGAAGTGATCTCGAAGCCGTATGATATTGTATAGCCTCAGGGCACGGGCTCTTGTTCCTCACGCCGCCGCGCTGGGGGTGTGAGGGTAGAAGGGGTAGGAGGGGGAGGGGGGAAGTAGCGGGCCGGGAGAAGGAGCAGGGGGAGGATGGGAGCAGGGAAGGGGGTGACAGGAGGGAGGGTAGGGGAGGGGAGGACGAGAAGGTCACGGAATATCGCGCGCTCTCGCCTCACAAAACGGAGAATTCAAATTTAAATATCGCGTTTTCCCTCCACACCGGCGGACTAACCTTTGCGTTTGGCGGTTCAATTTGTTCATCGCCCGAAGCTTTGGTACGTTACAGATTAAAATTAAGCAAATAAAGGAGCCTACTATCACAACGGCAGGGCATCCTTTCTACACGAGCTAAATGACCCTGCTGGTGTAAACAATATCCTGGACACTGCGCTCAGACCCGCGAGGGAGGAAGGTGATGCGTGTTTTCGGATAAGATACTCTCTTCGCTAATCTTCTCATTAATCCCAATAAAATAAAAATATCAACTGTTAATCAAAAGGGAACACATTTACCGTTACCTCAACAGTTAGGAAAAGAATCTCCCTGCCTGCTACTTCTCAGTGATGACACCGTGGGTCTTAAAATAGATAATGCTACCCACCTCTTCTGCTCTCCTCTCCCTCCCCCGCCCCCACGCAACGGATATCTTATAACAGGGTTCCGCCATAATAGCGCCGCCCATGGGAGGTACTGCCGTGATCCATCATTGGCTAATTTTCTCCTAGTTTAGTAACTGTATTTAGTTGTATACTCATACAGTTGCAGTGGTAATGATTACAGCAATGAATATATCAGAATTGTCAATAATATTCTTTGTGTTGATGTTGTTCATATGTTTATTAAATTAGGGATGACAAAGGGTTTTTGTGATGATAATAATGAGGGTGATTCTGTTATTCTGGTGAATTGAAAATGAAAATGATAATGGCCAGGGTTATAAACATATCATTTATAGCTGTTATCTGTGGTATGAATATTATTGTTACCAATATTGTTATTAAAATATCTTTAGTAATGCTTGTGATAATACATCTTATAACAATTTCGGTAATATCACAAAGTATAGTGATTCAATAAGAATAAAAACAGTAATGATAATATAAATGCTAATGATGATGATACTGAGAACAGTACTAACGATCTTATAATAATAATGTCAGTGATAATAAAACTGATTACAAAACAGCGGAGAATAATGACAATGATAGAAGAGAATGACAATATCCGTGTATATTCTACTAAATATTAACATTATCATCAATGAATTAAAAAAATAGTCTTCGAGTTCGAAGTACAATGACAAATATACACATCCTGCAATCACTTACACTCTCAACTCCATAAATTCTACGGACTGTTCACACCACAATTGGACACGCCCAAGCTATATGCCGGCGTGGCAGATGAGTAGTTAAAGGACTGTGCAATTGTTTCCCTTCCTTGAACTGACAAAGTACTTATCATAACAAAGTTATAGGATAATATCCAAATGTAATACCATTATGTAATGTTATGACCATGCATTAAATGTACCACAGCTTGCCCACGCCTGTCTAGTTAGCCAGGGTGGTAAATAAAGGACTAAACTAAACTTATTAAAGATTGAATTGATTGGATTGATCATCTCTTTTGAGCAAAGCAATGCACTCGACCCTCAACAACCACTTTCCCAAAGTTTTCTCAAAATGGCGCTAAGCTAGATGCAAGTACTAACTGGGCAATTTTCAACCACACATAGTACGTTAAAAATAAAAGGAAAGGCTATGAAAACTCTTGAAACCACGCAAGGCTTTTACTAGCAAAGACAGCGGTGGTTGGCAAAGACAGTATCCATGTTGCTAGACTCTCACCTTCCCTACATACGGCAGTCGTGGTCTGTTAGGATCTACACTTATATCAAGAATCGGGATTACCCACTTGTAAGTTGCACAGAAAGACGTTATAAGGATAATTTTCTAAAACCTAAAACAATGAGGCTGTAAACATGAAAACGGATGGTATATGAAGCCAACGCAGACTGCAGTTCATGCTAAATAAATTGCAGGTGGTCGGTCTATTTCAACATGGAAAAGAATCGATCTCCCGTGTATGTTTTACACACAAATAAATCTTAGTCCCATTTGCTACACAAAAGGAGCACACCCTTGCGAGTATCTTCAAGCTTTGAACAATGTATATGATGAACGCTACACCGGCGGATCTTGATAGTCTAAGAGCATGGCAGAAAGCACTTATGTAGTATCACAGTATGCTTTTGCAGCACCAGGATTTCAGGAAGGTTCGTGACAGAGCTAAAACTGGTAAAACTAAGTTGGTAACCACACTTCTAGTTGGAGAATTCCTGTTCTAAAGGTCTGAGACTAGAGAGGGTGCTCTCTTGACAACATTTTCGATGGAGTTGCTGAAAAATTCGCAAATATCAGAAAAAATATATACGTGCATAGTAACGGTGCCATTTTATACATTTTATATAGATATACAACGTATACTAAAATCCTTAACAATAATCATGCTCACCGCCTAGCAAGGTCAGCGTGTGACAAGGAAAGAGAACCTATTGTCCGGATTTCACACTTTCTTTGCACCTGACTGAGCCGATAAAGACAAACACGTATACATAATACCACAGAATGCCATGTGATGTAACCGTCCAGGCTGCTTTCATTAAACTAATCATAATTGGGGTAATTATAATTATTTTATATCATTTGATAATCTATATTCTAAATTCGAAAATGAATCAGCGTATCAGATGCAACAACGACTATCCGCTAATTCAGTGAAAGACTGTAGGATAACTATTTCTCCAAATTGTAGTATCTCAATTCGAAATGTAACATCGTAGTGTAAGATCATGTAACATTTACACAGCCAACCAGGACTCGGCAAAACTATATAACTGTCGTAGTAATAGCATTTGTATTAGTAGGAGAGGTAGTAGATGTTGTGGCAGTAGTAGTAGTAGCAGCAGTAGATGTAGTAGTAATAGTAGATTTAGTAGTAGTAGATACGGTAGTAAATGTAGTAGTAATAGTAAATGTAGCTGTATTAGTAATAGATGCAGCTGTAGTAGTAATTGATGTAGCTGTAGTAGTAATAGATGTAAGAGTTATAGTAGTACATACGATAGTGACAGTAGTAGATGTAGCAGTAGTAGCAGTAGCAGATGTAGTAGGAGAAGTAGATATAACAGTGGCAGTATATGTAGTAGTAGTAGACACATGTAGTAGTAGAAGTAGCATTAG